GGAAGCAATTTTGAACCTTTTTGTAAGAAATAGAGCATCTCACGGAAAAATCTAATAAAAATAAAAAGATTCTGCAGACTCAGACTGCAGTGTTCTTTCAAGTGGTGCATACGGTCTATATTCAGTGTTTGGGTGTGCCTTTTTTATTTACCATTTGATAACCTCAAGCATTAGTTCCCGCAGCATAGCTACATCTGTAAAACCACAAGAATGTATGCAGCTGCAAAGTGGTAAATAACAGGTTTAGACTGGGCTGCTCTAATTTTAAAACAAAAGAATTATATATATTTATATTTATTCCCACAGACAAAAAATTGTTAGCATTAAAAAATTTTAAAAATACTTTTTGGTTCATTAGCAATAAAAATTAGATTAGATTAGGAGTCACTCACTAAACCAGGTGAATTGTGACAACACAATAATTTTTATGCTATAACACCCAAATAAGAAAACCGTTTCCAGCTCAGATATTTTCCTGATGAGCTATGGGAATCTCAAAGAAATCACAAGATGTAAGGTGTCAGAATGCGGAAAACTAATCTCATTGTCAGAGAGTGTTAACTCGCAACAGCATGCTGGAGTGTGTAGTATGGTGCCCCGAGTGTTCCTTCATAGTTGCCGTTTATATCAATTTTTTTTCAGGTCTACCCAGAAGGCAGACTTCAGAGAAAACAAATAGGACAGACAAACCAAAATTGGGGGTCGAGGGGTCTCTCGTGACAAATTCAGGACTGTTGGCAAATATGGGTACTAGTCTAAAAAACCTTCTTTCAGTACTACGCAGATATAATCCGGTTTGTAAAAAAAACACACTCTGAGATAGAGATGGATTTTAGTTCTCACAAAGCTTTGGAAACGGAAGAAAATCCATGCAAAATTGTTTGTGGTCAGAAAAGAGAGCGTGATTTTCTCAGTTGTCCTGAGATGCAAAAGTGTACAGGTATTACTCGAAAAATTAGAATATCGTGCAAAAGTTCATTTATTTCAGTAATGCAACGTAAAAGGGGAACTAATATACGAGATAGACGCATTACATGCAAAGCAAGATAGTTCAAGCTGTGATTTGTCATAAGTGCAATGGGGGCCCAAACCAAACCATCATTAATAAAAGTGTATTTTAATATAAATATATATATATATATATATATATATATATATATATATATATATATATTAATAATATATACATTCATATTAAAATACACTTAGAATGATGTTAATTATATATATCTATATATATATATATATATAAAATTATATATATAAAATAAATAAATTGAAAAAAATGAAAAAAATCTAATAAAAAAATATACATTTAAAAAAACTAGACACCAGTTTTTATTTGTTCAAACTGTATTTTGATATTAATCAATATATATTAAATTCAAAATACATTTAGAATGACGTTATAAATACATAAATGTATCTATCTATCTATATATATATATATATATATATATATATATATATATATATATATATATATAAAAACAAGGGGTTGGCTGCACTCACCTGAACATGCATAAATGGGGTGCTGCTGGGGGCCAAATAATACAATACACAAGATCCAGCGCACTCACCTATCCACTAAACAGCAACTTCAATGTTGAAAGATTTTATTTGTTTTTTTTGTGTGGTTTTTTTATGCATGTTAAGGTGAGTGCAGCCAACCCCCTCTTGTTTTATATATATTTTGGAGTCTTGCCAACTCCTTGGTTTTGCACCCCTCCCTGTCACAGGTGCCTCATCCCAGGGCCCTATTTAGCCTTGTACTGCAGAGAGCCCCAGATGGAATTTTTTTCCCCAAGTAGGTTAATCTCATAAGAGCAGACATTAGGCTGTTAGTGTAGGACCTGCCAAAGATGGGGTACATTGACGTTGTGGCAGGCTTATGCAATGTATGATCATATAATGTAACTAAACCCCCATTATTTTTGCCTAGATTAGGTGTTTAAAAAAACAAACAAAAAAAAAACAAATAAAATCTTTCAACATTGAAGTTGCTGTTTAGTGGATAGGTGAGTGCGCTGGATCTTGTGTATTATATATATATATATATATTTAGATACACAGATATAAACATACATACATACATTTAAATACTAGAAATATATTTATATAAAATGTTTAAATAATCAAGTAATTTTATTAATTACAATCTGAGGGACATGCCTGACAACCCAGGCAGAAAGTACAGGGAATTTGGCTCGCAAGCCCTATATTTAACCCTGTAACTTTCTAGGACACCATAAAACCTGTACATGGGGAGTACTGTTTTACTCGGAGACTTCGCTGAACACAAATATTAGTGTTTAAAAACAGTAAAACATATCACAACAATGATATCATCAGTAAAAATACTATTTTGGCATTTTTCACACACAAATGGTTCTTTCACTGACGATATAATTGTTGTGATACGTTTTACTATTTTGAAACACTAAGTTTTGTGTTTGGCTTAGTCTCCCGAGTATACAAGTACCCCCAATGTACAGGTTTTATGCGGTTTTCAAAAGTTACTGGGTCAAATATAAGGCTTGAATTTCATCTTTTTCACCTTAAAATTTACCTGATTGGTTATGTTGCTTTTGAGACCGTATGGTAGCCCAGGAATGAGAATTATTCCCATGATGGCACACCATTTGCAAAAGTAGACAACTCAAGGTATTGCAAATGGGGTATGTCCAGTCTTTTTTTAGTAGCCACTTGGTCACAAGCACTGGCCAAAATTAGCGTTCAATTTAGTTTTTTGCATTTTTCACACACAAACAAATATGAACACTAACTTTGGCCAGTGTTTGTGACTAAGTGGCTACTAGAAAAGACTGAACATACCCCATTTGTAATACCTTGGGTTGTCTACGTTTGCAAATGGTATGGCATCATGGGGGTAATTTTCATTCCTGGGCTACAATTTGGTCTCAAAGGCAACATAACCAGTCTGGCAAATATGTATAAACTGAAAAATGTAATGTGCTATATTTGACCCTGTAACTTTCCAAAACACCATAAAACCTGTACATTGGGGGTATTGTTTTATCTGTGAGACATCGCTAAATAGAAGTATGTGTACTTTATTGCAGTAACAGCTAACCGTATGGTGACATTCACAGTTAAGATGCCATGCAGAACTAAAAAAATTACAAAATGTCTTAATTTCTCATTTTGTTTTTATATTTCATTCATATAAATTCATGTTTAATATACTAATATTTGATGTGACATGAAAGCCATGTTTCTCCTGAAAAAAATGATATATGATAAGTGTGGGTGCACCTAATATGAAAGAGATGAATTACTCTTGAACAGACATAGCGCAAATGCCAGGTTTTGTTTACGTTTTGTTTTGATCACAACTTGTACAATTGGCTCAGTCCTTAAGGGGTTAATCAAACAATTTGTTTACATAATATAATGTATTTTCTTGTTTCTATATATTTTTTGTATACATACTTATATACATAGAACACATTTTTTTTTTTAGATGCTGGGGTGGCGAAAATCACTATTATAACAGAGATACTTCGTAATAAAACATTTGCACCATCAACCTATTCTTGTATTTTCCAGAGGATCATGGGTAAAGTGTATATATATATATAAGATATTTCTTAAAAAGGATGACCTTGTATGATACTACAATCCTGCCTTGATGTGCAAATACCTGTATTGGTTATTGTACATTTATTTTATTGCCAATCATGTTTATTATAATCTGTAGTAAAGCAATACTACGTTATTTCTAATTGTTTTTGACAAATGCTTTCTTTTGTAATTATTGCAATACACTGTTATAGCTCACAAACTCTATTTATAGTCTTATTTTCCCCTCTCTCAAATAAAATAAGAAAATATTTAAATAAAAAAGAGACGGACAAATAAATATATTTAAAATAAAATCAACAACAGTATAGAAATACAGAATGAATGCAACTGTACACAGGATAACAGTATGACTAAATGGGACTAAATCTAAAAATGTGACAGTCATCAACAGATAGAGAATTTATGTCCATGTTAATGCGTCCAGGGAATATGAAGTCAGTGAAGGAAAAAAAATAATAAAAAAAAAATAATAAAATAAATAAATAAAGCATCCCTCCCCTATTAAGAATAATCAGTTCTTCCAGTACGACAAACCTCTCCCACTCTCCATACTGGTCAGTCCATGAGTATATACACCAATCAGTCTGTTATATAGGTTTTAAGTAACTAAATATAGTAAACAGGATCTTACCCCTCTGAAGTCCCACGGTTTGGAGGAAGGAAATAAGGAGAATGTGGTCTTGTGCTGCCATTTCGCCCTGCAAGATGACACAGGAGAAGAAAACAGTGTTTATAATTTATCTGCCGCACATACTGAAATGTCAACTCTCCATTTCCTGGTCACACCTGATGTGGCATTTGCAAAAGGGACACCTTGGATTACCTGCCAGTTAATATGTGGATAATACATTTCTTGTGGTTTTGTAAACATAGGCTAAAAATGAATGGGCAGATAATGGATTTCTCATGACACATAATACCAAAATACCATCTAGCTACACACACACACTGGTTTGCAATGGAAACAGAAGTCTTAGCAAGGCCTGAATAACTTCTCTAGTGTGGACTATTAACATGGGAAGGTAAACAAAGGTTTCTGTCAGCACCTCAGGGCTCATTAAACATTTAATAGGCACATGGGCCTCGGGAGTTCAAGCCAGCTTTGATGAATGCTCGTATTTGGAAAAAAACGCCAATGTATGCGAGACTGGTCATATTTATATAACCTAAATCACGGGGGAAAAAAGTTACAGTGAGGACAAACATGTATTCAATGTTTGGCCTTTCACCTTGTTAACTGCATATCACCCCCTTCCCTAGAATTTGGAACATTTTAATATGGATGTATAAAATTATGGTCTCCTATGGAGCAGATATGAATAAAATTATATTTGATCACGCCTGTAATCCTGCACATGTACATTAACACACAAATATATATAACACACACACATTATATATATTTACACACATACATATGTACATAGATCAAATTTTTTAGCTGCTGGGATGGGGAAAATCCCTGTTATAACAGTGATACTTAGTAATAGCACATTTGCACTTTCAACCAATTATTGTATTTTTTCAGAGGATCATGGGTAAAGTGCATATATAAGATATTTCTTTAAAAAGATTAGTGGGGCAGCTATGAAGATGTAATTGTATCAAATAGAAAAGCTACTGAGTTATTGAACAACCGACCACAGTTGTATTTTATAAAGTATTGTACACATTTATTTATTTTTTAAAATAGCCACATATAAAAATGAGTAACTCATGTGGTAGCTACTTTAATGTTAACTAGATTAAACAATGCTCTCATCTAAAATATATCAGATTTTCCCCTAACGTAAAACAAAGTAGAATGAAACACAAACAGCCGAAAAGACCCCCCAAAATTATTCTGCTGCACTGTTTCATTTTGCTCCATGTAATAAAGCCAATAATTGCAAATATAACCATGTCCTCTTACCCTGAAAGCTGAGTGAGTGGTTAGCTCACCAAAATTCTAATTAAATTCAAGTTAAAGGGACACTATTGTCAGCAAAACAACTTTAGTTGAATTAAGCAGTTTTTGTGTCTAAATCATACCCCTGATGTCTCACTTCTCAAATCACTGCCATTTATGAGTTGTCACTTTAGTTTCCGATTATGCAGTGTGTCTCTTTCATCCTCAGCACATCTGTGTGTCTTTCTCCTTTCCCCCCCAATGTCCCTCTCTGTCTTCCCACTCTAGCCTCTTGGTGTACCTCTTTCTCCCCCTCCAGCCCCATTGTGTGTCTCTTTCACCCCTTCCCCTATTTCTTTGGGATCTCTTCCACTCCGCCATTGTCCCTTAGTGGTCTCCCCTACCTGTTCCTTAGTGGTCTCATCTCGACTCCAGTCCCTTACTAGTCTCCTCTCCAGGGCCGGACTGGGGATATAAAGCAGCCCTGAAAAAAAATAAAATAAAATCTATGCCAGCCCCATACGTCATTGCGCATGTGTAAATCAGCGTCCTGTTGACGGCATGGTTCGAAAATTTATTTCTAGTCTTTCCACTCTCTCATTTATTTACCCCTTAGAGGGCACAAGAACATTACGTGGAGGTTGGTGTCGCTCGAGCATCTCGTGCCTACTCCAGCATCAACATCGTCCGTATTGGTACACATGAGCCTGAACAGTTTCGCTTTCCCGGCCATTGCTGGGAAAGGAACGTTGCGCCTGCGTAGCTCAGCAGTAATACGAGGAATGGTCCATGACCTGATAGAACCTGATAGGTGTCACCTTTTTGTGTAGGTGTAGTGGACCAGACTAGAGTACTGGGGATTGACATGCCATCACCTTCTTACAGAGATCTGAGACATACTGCAATATATTAATAATTAGCTTGGATTAGGATCGTTTTATTGGATGGCTAGCTGGTGCCCAGTGGCGAAGCAATTCACTAGGTTGGTAACAGATGAGCCCCTGTTATTTGCCAAGTGGTTTGAGAGGCTCTATCTATGCTTTGGCGCGAGGGGATTCAAGGCCACCGAATGTTGTGGCAGGGTGTTGGCCTCTTGGTGACATTTAAATCATGAGATAGATTGGGTGTGACAAGTAAGGCCCTCTCTATGCCACTGTGCGAGGTGGCTAACTATGTTTTGGCCCGTATGGTGTAATATCTCATGAGTGGAGGATGGGTGTTGGCCTTGTGGGACCACTAACTCCAAGGCAGAGATGCCAGAAACTTAACATCTATTGGTCACCTAGATCCCTATAAGCCAGTAAAACCTACAAAAAAAAGTCTATATTGTGGGGGAGCCATCGTGGCTAAAAAATACCTGAATACGTATAAGAGTTCGTTTAGTTCTGTATGGTATGGTTGTAACCTGTAACTGAAATCTGCAGTAACCCTTAGAGGAGGCAGAGAGGGGAAATATGTCCATAAGTCTATAACCTACAGAAAGAACCGTAACTGACAAATGGGTGCTAGGTCTGAAGAGCAAATGATGCTCCGAATTGATAACCTGTAGAAGAATATGATTTGATAAGACATAAGGAAATGGATGTTAACAAGATCTTGTGAGTACCATCGTACCCCCCCATGTACAGACCCCATGGCGTCCCGGCAAGCCACAGGACCAAATATCCGCAGACAGGAACCATACATCATATTTAGGGAAATCTCAAAATATGATTAGACATGACATATAAATATGTTTGTAAGCAAAACCATAGACTGTGCAGAAATGCATATGTAAATATAGACATTGTGTCTATCATAACTCATCTAATATGCCACATCGAAGGTAATACCTGTTTGTGGCATTATGATAATCAGATTGAGGAAATATTACCGCTACCATTACTGTAAAAGAATGATATCCGTATACTAGGTGCCTAGAAATGTACTACCCATAACCTAAAACAATACATTATATTCTTAACCCAAAATCTTAAATGTTTTCAATGAGGTGCCGAATTAGTCTGGGGCAGGTTGCCCATTACAGGGCATATGAACTAGGGATCGACCGATTATCGGTTTTACCGATATAATCGGCCGATATTCGGTATTTTCGGCAATATCGGTATCGGCCAATTCAGATACCGATATTGCCGATAATACCGCCTAGGACCGCCAGGCTCATTACAAGCCTGGCGGTCCTGGGGGGCGGGGGCGGATAGCAAGCGCTTACTCACCTCCCAGCAGCTCCTCCAGCTCCCCAGTGTAACTCTCGCGAGACCCGCGGCCATCAGAGCGTTGCCACGGGTTACCATGGCAACGCTCCGCGCGGCACGCTGGCCGCAAAAGTTACACTGGGGATCTGGAGGAGCTGCTGGGAGGTGAGTAAGCGCTTGCTATCCGCCCCCGCACCCCAGCTCAGCCAATGCCACTGGACCACCAGGGACTGTCATATCCCCCCTCCCTGGCCAGGTAACAAGCAGGGAGGGGGGACAACAAAAATAATAATTAAATATTTAAAAAAAATGTTTAATAAAAAATGCCCCCTCACACACACACACACATTCCATTATATACACATACACTACACAAACACAGTGTGTATATAATGCAGTGTGTGTGTAGTGTGTGTATATAATGCAGTGTGTTTGTGTAGTATGTGTGTATATAATGCAGTGTGTGTGTATATAATGCAGTGTGTTTGTGTAGTGTGTGTAATGTGTGTGTATATAATGCAGTGTGTGTGTGTAGTGTGTGTATATAATGCAGTGTGTGTGTGTTTGCATAGTGCGTGTATATAATGCACGGTTTGTGTAGTGTGTTTATATAATGCACACTACACAAACACACTGCATTATATACATACACTATACAAACACACACACTCTGCATTATATGCACACACACTAAACAAACACACACACTACACAAACATACTGTGTATATAATGCAGTGTGTGTGTATATAATGCAGTGTGTGTAGTGTGTGTGTGTATATAATGCAGTGTGTGTAGTGTGTGTGTATATAATGCAGTGTGTGTGTAGTGTGTGTGTGTATATAATGCAGTGTGTGTGTATATAATGCAGTGTGTGTGTATATAATGCAGTGTGTAGTGTGTGTGTATATAATGCAGTGTGTGTATATAATGCAGTATGTGTTTGCATAGTGTGTTTATTTAATGCACACTACACAAACACACTGCATTATATACACACTATACAATCACACACACTCTGCATTATATAAACACACTACATTCATTATATACACACACACACTACACAAACACACTTTGCATTTAGTATATACTGCATTCACTTTACGCACACTACCCACACACTACACAAACACTCTGCTTTCATTATATACACACTACACTAATACACACTGCATCCACTACACACTACACAAACATGCACTGCATCCACACAAACACTACACAAACACACACTGCATCCACACACACACTACACAAACACACACTGCATCCACAACACACACTACACAAACACACTACATCCACTACACACACTACACAAACACACACTGCATCCACTACACAAACACACACTGCATCCACTACACACACTGCATCCACTACATACACTGCATCCACTACATAAACACACACTGCATCCACTACACACACTACACACTGCATCCACTACACAAACGCACACTGCATCCACTACACACACTACACAAACACATACAGCTCCCCTGTCACACTGCATCCACTACACGTGGCATGTATATTTTGTGCATTTACCTTTAGAAATAGTTTTTATTTTCCAAAATGGTAAATGTACAGAATATCGGCAAATTATATCGGCTATCGGCCTGAAAGTTCACAGAATATCGGTATCGGCTCTAAAAAATCAATATCGGTCGACCCCTAATATGAACACACGTTGTAAAGGCATAGTGATGCCAAGAGTAGGAAATATGCGTATCCCGATTTGAATCCCGAGATTTAGGGTGGCTGTGCGGGCTGTGTTGGGATTAATGCGGGTGAAGGTAGGACATGAATCAGAGAATGGTTGTGGAGTTTGTGTATGTAACGAAGACATGCTGGTGATGAGATGGTAGAGAACCTGCATAGGCCTCTAGAATGCCACACTGGCTGAACAGGCTAGTGGCTGTGATGGCCGTACATAATACATAGGAAAAGACAGGAGATATAAGACGTACATTAAAAAGACCTACATGTGGAATGCTTAGGAGGATGAAAAATACTTATGCATTCACAGCTGGCATGGAAGATTATGGTTGAAAGCAACAGAAAATGCTGAAATAATGGTAGACTCTCTCAGTAATATTAGCATCAGATATAAAACTTCATTAAAATGTAGGGTGACTAACATATGATACTGCTTTATGAATTGGAGGTCATTTATTAAGAAGATTTGAGACATTTAGAAGATATTCCCCTTTACAGAAAATAAAGAATTTTACATTTATGTGTACATGGTTCTGTACTGAACCAGACAGTCTCATCAGCCTGCATCTCGTATATATATATATATATATATATATATATATATATATATATATATATATATATATATATATATATACACACACACACACACACATACATAGCCTTACATATTATATATATTAAATGTTTTACTCTGAAAGGACCAATATTTTCTGTTTCTAATGTAAAATATTGGTCCTTTCATAATAAAAAACATTTAATTATACAGTAAGCATACTCACATGCAACCATGATAGACAGAC